CTCTGAGCTCAGCCACCAGCCTAGTGGACCCAGCAAACTACGCAGTTGTCCTAGTCCCTTTCTGGTCACGTGAACTGGGCAGGCTGCTGGCTGCATTCTTCGTGCCATCTAGATGAAACTGAACACAGACTCACGACCCGGGAGAGCTGTCTCTGAGTGGCCTTGTATTCCAGTGTGTGGGTCCAGGTTCATGATGACACACAGTTGCAGAGCCTCCACCTCTACCCAGAAGTGGGGCAAAAAATAGATGGGGAGAGCCGGGGTGTCTCTGGTCAATGCACATAGAAGTGACACTTTTCTTTCTTCTCCTGGATTCTAAAATATGTTTGAAGTTTGTGTTAACTACATTATTACTTAGTTTGAAAAATTAACCTAAAAGCTTTTTATTTTTGTAATAATTCCAACAGCCATAAAATTCTGTTTAGTTTTAAATATATAAAAATTATATGGAAGAGATAATTTCTTAAGCTTCTTGGCTAATAAATGGGAGCAACAAACCTGCATGGTAACTTTGTAGTTCAGTGGTTTTTTTTTTTTTTTGTTTTGTGTGTGTGTGTGTGTATTGTATGAATGCGCACACTCAGATATGCACACTTTGTGTGGAGGCCAGAGGAGGACCTTGGTGTCTATCACTGTCCACCGTAGGCCTTTGGTCTCTCACTGACACTGGTTTTCAGTTGGGCTGTCTGGATGGCAAGCCCCAGTGTACTCCTGTCTCTCTCTTCACCCTGTGTGCCACAGTTAGGAAAAATGCTGCCAAGGACTGTGGTGGCATATGCATACTCAGTGGTGAGGCCCTGCCTTCTACCCCAGTGCAGGAGGGAGAAGATTGGAGGCGTTGCTAAATGACCCTGAGAGGGACGCAAATTGCCTCTAGTTGAGAATGACTGCTGAAGATGTTCTCTCCTGAGATTGGGTTTTCACTTCATTGGCTCAGCTTTCTATAATAAGCATGAATTTCAAATTGAGAGAACGAATAAAACCAAACAATCAATTTTTCCTATAGAAGAAAGATACCATAGTTTTAAAACTGAGACCTTGTGTTCATTTGAAATTAAAACCTTTAATCTCCTAAAAGTACATACAATTCATTTTCAGAATTTGGAAAGAACGTTTTAGAGACAAAAGCAGTTGAGTCACTACTGAGGGTTATAATGCTGGGCCGTTAAGTGATTGACTAAGATGGTTGCAGTAGACGAGGTATGAGGGGCAGTTTATGGGGCTCATTCCTGTGATCCATGCTTATGTGGATATGAATGCTGTGCCTAATCATCTGCTCCACTGAGAGAGCCTCTAATTATAAAGAAGCTCTGGAGGGAAGGTTAGATGTGTGGGCTGGATGGATGTGTGATAAAGCAAAATACTACTTGCAGAGCAGAGCACCTTCTTTGACTTCTAATAGAACGTGGGTGGGAGGATCGGTCTTTTAGAGGTGCCAGCTGAGGTGGCTTTCTTTACACTCTGTTACTTCGTTTGGATGTACTTCAGTTGCTTTTCCAATAATGCTGTAGTAATTAGATAATATACTTGGTGGTCCAAAATCCAGGCTCTAATTTTGTCTCTTATTTAAAATGGTGATCCTGCTGATCAGTGAAATATGGAAACATTTTTTAAGTGGAAAGCATTGTGGAGAAATATGAGGTCAGTTAGATGGTTCAGTAGGTGAAGGTGCTTGCTGCTAAGCCTGATGGTCGGAGTTGGATATCTGGCTCACACATTGTGAAAGGAGAAAACCCATAGGGCCAGTGGGCTGGTTCAGTGGGTAGGGGTGCTTGCTGCCAAGCCTGATGACCTGAGTTGAATCTCTGGGACCCACACGGTGGAGGACAAGAACCAACTCCTCTTGACCACCACATGAATACACACACACACACACACAAACGTACACACACATACACAAATAAATAAATGAATCAGAGAACTCACCTTCTCCAAGTTGTTCTCAGACTTCTACTAAATTTCTTTTTCCCTCCTGTGAATCTTTTTGACATTTTCCAGCTGTTAAAAGGGGATGATTTTCCTAGTATTGTAAGGTTAAACTCCAGACCTGTACTATCCCTTATTAATGGAACAATATTTGTCTTTGGAAAGCTCTCTCCTAATTCTTCATCTTCCTCTCCCATTATCGCCAGCTGAGGATTTATCAAGTGCATCATTTAATTGCTATTGAGATGATTCTTGCTAGTCTTAGTGCGGGTCCCAGCAGAGTCTGGTAAACAGGTAACTCAGCGAGGCTCTGGGCTAATGGGAAGAGGGTGTTTTCTCTTCACTTTTCTGTTAGAAACATTTTTATTCTCCCACTTTAGGATTGGATTGGGGGGTTTATGTGCAAAGTCATGTAGTTCTCTCCATTATTTTAGAGCTAGTCTAGGAGGTGTTTGTATGTGCGCCATTGATAGGTTGGGATCTCGTAAGTCCATGAGAATGGGGAGGACGGGACCATTCCAGAGCCAAAAGCAGGAGGCACAGAAGCCACTCGGGCTGCTGTCACTCTAAGAGGTTGGCGCTGCCTTGTCTGCCCTTTGTAGGCTCATTTTCCTTTTCATCTGAAGAGTCAGAGGCTAGGTTCTATTGAGCTTCAGATGACCACATGTGGGATGGATGCTACAGAGGTGGGATCAGTTTCTCTGAGCAGAAAGGAGGAACAGCGCCTTTTTCCTTGTCCAGTCAGAAGGCTCCTGACAAAGATAAAAAACATTGGAAGGCTTGGGGGTGGGAAAGAATATGCAGGGGCCTGACATCGTGCATTCTTGAGCTTGTCTACAAGGTGCTAAAAGAAAATTGCTTTTACTGAAAGGTATCAGCCTTAGCCAGGTGTGGTGGTGCATATCCAGCACTGGGGAGACAGAGGCAGGGGGATCTCTGAGTTTCAGGACAGCCAGGGCTGTGGAGAGACCCTGTCTCAACAAAACAAAACCAAAGCTGCCTGCCTGCGCCTTCCTCCCACACCTCTTGTTTCTAATTGTTTTTGGTTTGTTTCAGACAAGGTATCTTGTTTGCAGGCTGGCTGTTAAGAGGATGACTTTGAATTTCTGACCCTCCTACTTGAATTCCAAGTGCCGAGACTCTGAGTGTCCATCCCTGCACCTGGTCTCTGCAGGGCTGGGGATTGAACCCAGGGTTCATGTAGGCTAGGCAAGCCTTCTCCCCATTGAGCTATGTCTCTTAGGAGTTAGTTTCCAATATTTAATATTTTATAGTTGATTAAATTATTCAGGATTCTTATAGGTCTGATTTGTTACACATCATAATCCCAGGGCTGGAGAGATGGCTCAACAGATAAGAGCACTTTTGTTTCTCTTGCAAGAGGACCAGGGTTTGGTTCCCAGCACCCACACAGTGACTTATAGCCATCTATAACTGCACTTTGAGAGTCTCTGACACCCTCTTCTGGTTTCTGAAGATGCCAGGCACATACATGCAGGCAAAACACTCATACACATAAAATAAAGTAAATCTAATTTTCAAAAATCTCTGAGCAAGAAGTGAGTGAGGAGGACTGTAGGATTGGACACCCTTGGCCTAGTTCAGAAAGGGACATAGTTACCTTTCTAGCAAGGACTTGATTCTGGCAACTTGCTTCTTAGTTCCTGTGTGCGAGCGTGCTGTGCAGCCCCCACTTTTTTCTTCTTAGCAAAGTGTACTAACTCTTCTCTTTTCTGTTTGGTTTTTCGAGACAATTTCTCTGTGTAGCCTGGCTGGCCTTGAATTCACTGAAATCCGCCTACCTCTGCCTCCTGAGTGATGGGATTAAAGACACACACACATCACTGCCTCTGCCTCCTGAGTGATGGGATTAAAGACAGACAGACAGACAGACACACACACACACACACCACTGCCCAGCTCAGTTTTTTTTTGACATGTATTTACAGCTTCACAATGCAAATTACTCTAAGGGAATACACAGAATTAGAAAATGTCATCAGATAATACACTCATTTCCAGTAGAATAAGGATACTTTAATGGAATAAGTATCCTATAGACATAATGTTTTAAATCAAGAATATACATACCTCCCTTGGTCATAATCTTAGAGTCCTGATGATGGTTTCATGACATCATTGTCATTACAGACTCCATATAGGAAACTCTTAAGCTAAGTTCAGTCCAAGTTCTTTCAAGAATATTCTCTTGAAATGCTGTTGACACAGTAGGAGAAAATGTCTATCATCTTTTTTGATCAACAGCTATTTTTTGAGCCTGCCCTTTGAATTTAGAATATAAGGAGAGAATAGATTCCAAATAAAAATAATCAGAGGCATCGTTTGTTGTAGTGTTGCTGGTGACTTGTGTCTAATGGAAAGAGACTTGATAGACTTTATGATAAAACACCTCTTCTAATCTTCTAACATTAAAACAATGGGAACATAGGTCATCTTAGAGTAGAACTTATAATACAGAGATCCACACACTTTCTCTGTAATGAGCCACACAGCCAGTATCTGAGGACTTTGTCGACTGTCTATTTTCTGTTGCAGCTGCTTACCTTTGCAGATGGTAAGCCCCAAGGACGTAAATGAATGAGCATGACTGTGTTCCATAAAACTCGATTATGTACACTGAAACTTGAATTTTATGTAATGTCTACATTTTTGGAGTTTTTCTTCCAAACACTTAAAACTGTAGAAACCATTTGAGGGCCTCTGCACTCATCTGCAGAGGTAAGCTGTTACAACAGAGAATGGATGGCCCACAAGGTCCTCAGAGGACATACCAAAGAAGAGAGAAGTTGGAGAATGAGAAGTCGGTTGCTGATTCCTATGGCCTTTCATAACAGTGACTTTAAGTATGTTGAAACTAGTCTAATATGGAAGAGTTTTAACATTTTTCTCCTACCTTTTGAGGGGAGGAGAGCAAACTTCACCTGTGTCTTCTGTGCGAAATTGACAGATCAGATTGGCTAATGGTCTGAAGTGGTTAGAGAGACAATTGGGATGCTTCCATTTGAAAATGGTTTTTGACTGGAATTGCTGAGTTCTCTTTTATTTTCTTCCAGTGAAACTAGCAGTGTATGCAGCAGCAGTGACACAGGGCTCTTCACCAATGATGAAGGACGGCAAGGTAATCATCATCTTCTTCTTCTTCTTTTTTTTTTTTTTTTTTTTTTT